TTTGCTATTAATCAATTAAGGAATAATTAATTAATTAACGGCTTGGATCAAGCGGAGCCTTCGGATCGGGGTGAGGGGGGGAGAAAAGGGGCGGGAATGAGTTAAATAAACATGCATGGGGTGGGGGAGGGGCCTTGGCTCGGCGTCGGGGGCCGCGGCGGCGCCGGTGGTGGCGGAGTCGTTGTCATTGTCATCGTTGGGCATTATTGGTCATCATCATCGTCATCGGTGTCATTGTCATTGTCATCGTTGGGCATGGTCATCATCATCGTCATCGGTGTCACCGTTGTCATTGTCATTGTTGGGTATTGTCATTGTTGGTCAACATCATCATTGGGCATCGTCATCATCGGTGTCATTGTCACCGGTGTCGTCATCGTCATCGGTGTCATCATTGTCATCGTTGGGCATTGTTGGTCATTGTCATCAGTGTCATCATTGTCATCGTTGGGCATTGTTGGTCATTGTCATCGGTGTCACCGTTGTCATTGTTGGGTATCATCATCGTTGGCCAACATCATTGTTGGGCATTGTCATCGGTGTCATTGTCCTCGTCATGGGTGTCATCATTGGGCATCGTCATCAGTGTCATTGTCATCGTCATCGGTGTCACTGTCATCATTGGGCATTGTTGGTCATCGTCATCAGTGTCGCCGTTGTCATTGTTGGGTATCGTCATCGTTGGTCAACATCATCGTTGGGCATCGTCATCGGTGTCGTTGTCATCGGTGTCGTCATTGCAATCGTTGGTCATTGTCATCGTTGGGCATTGTTGGTCATCGTCATCGGTGTCATTGTCATTGTCATCACTGGGCATTGTCATCGTTGGGCATTGTTGGTCATTGTCATCATCATCGGTGTCATCATCATCGGTGTCATCATTGTCATCGTTGGGCATTGTCATCGTTGGGCATTGTTGGTTATTGTCATCGTCAATGGTGTCATCATTGTCATCTTTGGGCATTCTGGTCATCATCATCGGTGTCATCGTTGGGCATCATCATTGGTGTCATTGCCATTGTCATTGTTGTTCGTCATCGTTGGGCATTGTTGGTCATCGTCATCGGTGTCATCATTGGGTATCATCATTGTTGGGTATCATCATCAGTCATTGTCATCGGTGTCGTCATTGTCATTGTTGGGCATCGTCATCGTTGGGCATTGTTGGTCATCGTCATCGGTGTCATCATTGTCATTGTCATCACTGGGCATTGTCATCGTTGTTCATCATCGTTGGTCATTGCTGGTCAACATCGTCTTTGTCATTGTCACTGTCATCATTGGGCATCGTCTTTGTTGGCCATTGTCATCGTCATCAGTGCCATCGTCATCGGGGTCATTGTTGTCATGGCTGTCGTTGACATCGTTGTTGGTCATCGTCATCGTTAGTCATCATCATTGCTGGCCATTGTCATCGTTGGGCATTGTCATTGTCATCAGTGTCACTGTTGTCACTGTCATCGTTGGGCATTGTCATTGTCATCAGTGTCACTGTTGTCATTGTCATCGTTGGCCATTGTCAACTGTTGTCATTGTCATCGTTGTCATCGTTGGCCATCGTCATCGTTGTCATTGTCATTGTTGGCCACTGTCATCGTTGTCATCGTTGTCATCGTCATCGTTGTCACCACCACCACCGCGGCCGCCGCGTTCCCGGCACCGGCACCGCCGGGAGCCGGCTCCGGCCGCCCCGACATTCCCAAAAAAAAAAAAAGCGGGAATTCCCCGTTTTGGTTCCCGCCCGATCCGGGAGTTCCGGGAACGGCAACGGCACCGGGAGAGCGGGACGGGATTCCCGCGGATTCCGGAGATTTCCATGGAATTCCCGGGGATTCTGGAACGTTCCCCGTGGATTTCTGTGGATTCCTGAGGATTGCCGTGGATTCCTGAGGATTCCCAAGAATTCTCGTGGATTCCTGAAGATTTCTGGGAATTCCTGAGGATTTCCAGGAATTTCCACGGATTCCTGAGGATTCCCAAGAATTCTTGGGGATTCCTGAAGATTTCTGAGAATTCCTGAGGATTCCTGGGGGATTTCCATGGATTCTTGTGGATTCCTGAGGATTCCAATGGATTCTTGAGGATTTCTATGGATTCCCACAAATTCCCATGGATTTCGGTGGATTCCTGAGGATTTCTGTGGATTCCTGTAGATTTCCATGGATTTCCATGAATTCCTGAGAATTCCTGAGGATTCCCATGGATTCCAATGGATTCCCACGAATTTCCATGAATTCCCTAGGATTCCCGAGGATTTCCATGGATTCCCACAAATTTCCACGAATTCCTGAAGGATTCCTGAGGATTTCCATGGATTCCCACAAATTTTCACTAATTCCTGAAGAATTCCTGAGGATTCCAATGGATTCCCACAAATTCCCATGGATTCCCAGAAATTTCCATGGATTCCTGAGGATTCCCATGAATTCCCAAGGATTCCTGAGGATTTCCATGGAATTCCCACAAATTTCCACAAATTCCCTAGAACTCTGAGGATTCCCACAGATTCCCAAGGATTCCTGAGGATTTCCAATGGATTCCAATGGATTCCCACGAATTCCTGAAGATTCCTGAGGATTCCCACAAATTTTCATGGATTCCTGAGGATTCCTGAGGATTTCCATGGAATTCCCACAAATTTCCACGAATTCCCTAGAACTCTGAGGATTTCCATGGATTCCCACAATTTTCCACGAATTCCTGAAGATTCCTGAGGATTCCCACGAATTCCCACAGATTCCCGAGGATTCCTGAGGATTCCCATGGATTCCCACGGATTCCTGAAGATTCCTGAGGATTCCCACGAATTCCCACAGATTCCCACGGATTCCTGAGGATTCCCATGGATTCCCACGAATTCCTGAAGATTCCTGAGGATTCCAATGGATTCCCACGAATTCCTGATGATTTCCACGGAATTCCCACAAATCCCCAAGAATCCCCAAATCCCCGTCACCCTTCAATCCATCCACCCGTCCCCGCGGACTTCCCGCGCTTCTCCGCCGCCTTCCCCAAGGATTCCCGAAGATTCCAGAGGATTCCCAAGGATTTCCCCCCCACCCCTGGAATTCCCAGGAATTCCCAGGAATTCCCAGGGATTCCCCAGGGCTCGGGGTGCTGCCCAGGGGGCTTCACTCGGTGCGGAGGATGATGTGGATGCCGGATTCCGTGAACACGGGGCCGCTCATTTCGCCGGCGCGCAGAGCGAACGACGCGTCCTCGAACGCCTTCTGCATCTGCCCTGAGGAGGGAAAAATCCCGGAATTCCATCAGAGATTTGGGATTTTGGGGGGGTTTCCAAAAAAAATTGGGATTTCGGGGGGTTTTTCCCAAAAAAATGGGATTTTGGGGGGTTTTTCCCAAAAAAATTGGGATTTCAGGGGGTTTTTCCCCCCAAAA